AGAGAGAGAGAGAGAGAGAGAGAGAGAGGAGGCCATGCTTTAGACAACAGCACTGCCTAGTGTTTGAGTAGCACAACTGCACTTAGTTTGCCAATCTACATGTTGCCTTTACGTGACTTCCATTTATTGACTCATTTAAGACACTTCATTGTTTTACTTTTCTGAATACATAGTATGATATACAATTATTTTATATTATGGTGAATCTGTGTTTTTTGTCTTCCCTTGCGAAAAAGAAGTGTGCTTAATTGTTTTGAAACATTGTCATGAACTTGAAATCTTAAAAGTCTATTTTTAAATAACCGCTCTTGCAGTGACTATAATTTTAATGAAATAAAGTGCCTCTTAACTGTGCTTAAAGAGAGTGACTGTTTCTTTAAAAAGTGCACTGTGTAATAATGTCGTTTTACTTTAAAGCATACATTTCAAATCATTATGTTTTAATAATATTGTGTTGTGATTTAAAGAAGTTCACTTATTTTGATGTCTTTACTAACACACTAAAGCACACCTAAAGCAGGAGATTTTAATTTTAACTGTGGTATTTGATAATACATTTAAATGTAATTTAAGTTAGATGTACTAAATTGCAACTTCATCATTGCAGATGTGTGATTACAAACATGTGGCACATGGCATACAAGTTTCAATAGAAATGACATTAAAGTATATTTTAGTTTTACTAAAACGAAATATAAGTTACATAGAAAGATTTTTTTTAAGGTGTCCTTGTTACAGTGTAATTATACATTTAAGTACTGAGCAATGTAACGTGTTAAAGGACACCTTAAAATAAAGTGTTACTAAAAAATCAGTCTTATCAATTAATTGCATTTAAAATAAACTTAAACTATAATATATTTTCATTTAATTGCAAATAACATGCAATTGATCATACAGCTGGAATCTTTAGGAGCAAACAGACACTTCTCTAGCCCTAATGTATATTATATTGCGACCAAATTGACTTTGTATTGATTTTTGAGTCAGAAATACAGCATTTTCCCTGAAATGAACACCCATGGAAAGTGTCAACGCTGATGTTTTGTGGAATGCGAGTGAAATTTATTATTACGATTATGATCTTATTTCATGGTTAAAGACATCCTGAAGGGTGGTGCTGGGGAGGTGGAGGGTTTTTATTAGGCTGGTAATGTATATTATGAAAAAGCCTGATAAGAAAATATCACAAAATACAGTATTATCTTTCAAGAGGTTTGTCTGAGCTCTACAAGTGTTATCACAGTCTGCTAATCTAATTAAGATACTGGCATAGCCAATGACACACATGTTAATTGTTTTACAATAGGATTGACAAGACTTTACATAATTAGATTACTTTAAACAGTTTACATGTTCTGTTTCTGATACGACTAATACTACTTTCTAAAGTAATAAAGGATATGCACATATGCATTCTTTTAAATGCGGTGTTAATATATTTTTAAAAAGTACTAAATTGCAACTTTATCATTACAAGGGTGCAATTACAAATATATTAAAAAAATTATGACATGAGTTTCAACAGAAATTAGTTAAACATAAATGCTTGTCAGTACATTCAGCAGTACTTTAACCATATTTCAAAAACAACAGAATTATGAAACTTCATATAAAGATAAAAGTGTTTAAATCCTAAGTTTGTCAAAAAAGTAAAAATGTCAACATTGCATATGAACTACATAAATGTTTACATTATTTGTAAATAAGATGCATTAAAGCGTCAGTTCACACTGTATAAGTGTATTCATTTAAAATATATTATTTCTGTAATAATAATGTTTTTAAGTATGCGAATGTGTACTACTTTTATAGTGGTCTCATTACAGTATATACTATTTAAAGAATGGTCAGTATTATTTTAAAAATTAATAAATAAATAATAAAGTTTGTGTTCAACAGAATAAAGAAATTTACACAGGTTTGGATTTTTATAAATGTAACAATTTGGTGAATTTTTGGTTCACCATAAAATCAACAATTTTTGTTTATAATAAATGTTTATCATTAATGATTTATCCATGCACATTATTTTAAAAAATCATGTGCCCTCATAATATTTAATCACAAACATTAACGTCCTCTTTTTTCAGATGATGTATGCACTGACATGAGGGCGGGACAATAACCTATCACTCAAATGATGTCACAGGATTTTGCAAGTGACAATGATTTTGATAAATTCTTGGATATTCTTTAAGACACTTCACTTGGAAATGCATCACAATAGAGAAGTAATGATTGCAATTTCTGTTTCACGGAGACTTCAACTATTAACACCACTTTGTTTACATATACAAAGAATGCTGTGTTCTATAGGATGCTTATAATGTTTTGAACGTGATGATTAAATATGGAAGTATACTCAGCAGAGAAGATTAGCTCACATTAGATGGTCCATGTGCTGCAGATTTGCAGAACAGGCTTAAAACACTCTCAGGTCATTTGGAGAAGCATTTAAGCATCTGAAGAAGTCTGGAGAGTCACTGCTTTCTCAACAGACACCAGTACGTTCCCCCGGCCCAAACCAGGACGCACATCCTGAAGAACGGAGTCAAATCCCAAATCTATCTGCGCAAATCTTGAGTTTCCCTGAAAAACAAATCGTTTTCCTTAAAACTTTTGGGTGGATGTTTGTGTAACGTTTTTTTAAATGTTACTACTTCAGGACGTTCATAGAACATTCAAAAGTAACATTGGTAACACTTTACAATAAGGTTCATTAGATAAACATTAGTTAATGTATTAACTAACATGAACTAACCATGAGCAATACATTTGTTACTGTATTTACTAATCTACGCTCACGTTAGTTAATACAAATACAGATGTTCATTGTTAGTTCATGTTAGTTCACAGTGCAGTAACTAATGTTAACAAGATTTTAATAATGTATTAGTAAATGTTGAAATTAACATTAACAAAGATTAATAAACGCTGTATAAGTGCAGTTCATGTTAACTAATGTAGTTAACTAATGAACCTTATTGTAAAGTGTTACCGTAACATTCTCATAATATTTGCAAAAGTATCAAACGGAATGTTCATGTGTTTAAAACATTTAAAAACTGGCTGTTTTGAATGTTCAGAGAACACTTTTTTTCATAACTTAATTCCAACATTAGTAAAAGGTTCAAAGAGCATATTTTGTTGGCAGAAAGATCACTTTCTCTGAGACTCAAACTCTGGAACCCTGAAGAACCTCATTCCTAATAAATACCCTGCAGTTAGTGACTCAGTTTACCGTTTTTTTTCAGCTGCTTACACACTAAATCTTCACTTGTCACAGTTTCTGAAAGCTGACACTCAAACAGCAGAAGCACACACCAAATCTACAAAACCATGCACTAATTATCAGCCTTTGACTCAGTTTTCAATTTCATAAAACACTTTTTGCAAAACAAATTCCACACTAATTCATCACTAACTCCTCACAACCAATCATGCTTTAGAATAAACACACATCTACACAACTGTGTCTTTTCTTTGGTACTGTGTAAAACTGTATTCACAGCCACAAATGCTTACAGTAAAAAGGTTCGCTTTCAATCTTGCGTTCACATTTACCGTGAATTTTTACAACATCTCTCTGACAATTACTTTCAATCTTGTACACAAATGTTCACAGGTGCTCACGAAAGGAGAGCTTTAGGTTTTGAATAACTGTGTGCATGTGATATATCCAAAAATATATAATATTATGGCAAACGTGTTTGCAACATAAGACAAATGTTTGCTTTTGAGATGTGTTTCTGATATTTTGAAATATTTAGAGATGTGAGGTATTTTGCATTTCGTGTGTGCAGTTCTTGGATTTGTGTGTAAAGTTTTGAAAATGTGTGTAAGCAGCTGAAAAAAAACTGTAAAGAGGAGCTGGAGAGCGAGAGAGAGAGAGAGAGAGAGAGAGAGACAGAGAGAGAGACAGAGA